CGTACGTCAATGCAGGCTTGTGAATGCTGTTGTAGAAGTCATGGGTGATGCTTTCCCAGAGTTGAAAAGAAAGGAAGAGGACATCAGTGAAAGTATTGCAGCAGAGGAAGAAAATTTTGGGAAAACTTTGAATAAGTCTGTAAATGGAGTTATTGTGTATCATAGAAAGATGGTCATTTGACTTGTTTGATGACGGCGGTAAATTATCATTCGCAGGGGTTTAAAAGATTTAAACAGGACGCCAAGGAGGCTAAGGACTAAGGAGGCTCAGAGAGAAGTGATCAGTGGGCAGGCAAGCTTAAACTAACTAGCAATCTTATCTATTTTTCCTGTTGACGAGATTTTCTCTTGTGAATCTATTCAGTGAAAAGGTCTCGCTTGTATCGGTACTTGGGTGGGTACAAGAAGGATTTGTTGGTGTACTGTTAGAAACAAAGTTTTTAACGGGTTTCTACATCAGATCTAGAGATTGGAAATTTAGGGTTTATAGAATAGAATTGGGGATTTAGGGATTTGAGGATAGTTTGGGGAAGAAAAGAGAATTGGCCTAGACCTTTGGAGGAATTGAGGACAAGAATTAAGAAGATATGGAGAGGAATTAAGGAGATAATTCTTTTATTAACTTCTGCTTAATATGACGAATGACCCAAAGTACATATATATAGGGAAATTCTAGAAACCCCTAAGAATAAACCTAATTCTACTAGAAGACTACTAACCATAATAAGGATTATCCTAATAATAAGCATAATAAATAATAGAGAAACCCTACAGAAATTGGTTTCTAACATCTCCTCCCCCTTCAGACCAACCTTGCTCTCAAGGTTGACTGACTTGATCCACTCTTCCTTCCTTCTCGCGCAATCCGCACGTTTTCTTCCAATCATGCTCTAACTTCGATATTGGGCTTCTCGCACCAACCTTCTTGTGTTGATTTAAATCTTCAACCTTCACTTCTATGGGCCCACTATTTGCTTCCTTGACAATTTCAAACTTCAACAGCTCCGCTTTTGTTGACATAACAATCCAGCAACTCGAGAAACCCAATGGTTCGTTCTTGTTCAAGAACCCATCCTTAAATACCATCTCATCAAGGTCTTGATACAATTTCCTTGGAGGTAGTCCATTAATTTGTTTTATTGATTCTCCACTACCTTTTGGGCCCTGTTTCTTTCGAAGCCCATATTCTTTTTGAAGGTTGTGAGAGCTATTTTTATCTGGCCCGTGATCAGACCACTGCTCAGCCCAATGCACCTCACACTTTAGCTCATCCAATGGCTTTTGCTCAGCCCAATTTATTTCCTGTATCAGCATGCTACATAGACCTATCTTCGGCCCCTCTTCAGGATTGGACTCGGCTCGTGTCTTTTTCCACCTTGGCCCACTACACTGGCCTCCTTGGTCAGAAAAGAACCCAACCAGCTTCCTCCTTACCAGCCCGCATCTCGGACCAGCTCGGCCCGGTGAAAACTCAGTGGGCTTCTCCCTCAAGGCCGGCCCACTCTGCTCATCAGCCCTCGCGGCCAACGCAGCCCAGCTGGCCCAGGCCAAGGGAGCGTCCCTAGGGTTTGCGAGATGGAGAGCGCCAATTCCCTTCCTCTGGGTCTCGTTTGCCGCCAACTCCCCCGTTGATGGCTTCTTCGTCTCGTCCATCACCGGCGAGCATCTCGCCAGATGCTTGGAGGACGGCCCCAATCCGACACTCTTCAGCTTCTCTCTCTCCGACGGCGAGGGAGGAAACTCACCGCCACCTCCCTTCTCCTTCTTCTTTTCCCGCGGCGGCAAAGAGCTTCTCCAACAGAAAGTCTTGTCGGCTCCCGATGTTGCTACCTCCACGATCGTCGTCGCCCCTTCATTTCTTCCACCCGACATCGTCAGTGGAAGAAACGCCGATCGTCGCGCCTTCTGCTCGTCGTGAGCTGTCGGCGAAGAAATCCGGTGAACCCGCGCCAGCTCGCGTTTGCGATTGAGGCAGGTCTCCGTCTTTTCGTCCGCCGCCATCGATGTCTCCATCTCTGGCGAAGAGTCCTCCAGCAGCTCCGCCCACGTTCTCGCGACGCAGCTGACGCCCATCGCCGCGTTCCGCGAGCGATTCGAAGCTCTAGCGCGTCGAGACCGCGATGCGACGTCTTCTCCGCTTCGCGTCGTTGGCTGCGGATAGACGGCGGTGATGCAGCGACTCCCTGCTCTTCTTTCATTAGATCGCAACTTCTTCGAAATCTCCAGTTCACGACGCGATTTGGGATCCCTTCCAAGCCATCGTTGACCAGGCTGGCGTTGTTGTCGTCCATTGCCGCCGCAGCGAATGGTTCCTTGGCAAACCCTCTTGCTTGGACGTCTTCGACCAATGGCACAAATCGTTCCGGGTTTCCTTGGGTGAGGAGCGGTACAAGACTTTCTTCGGCAGCGAATTCCTCATGGCTGGCGGTGATTGTTGATGGCGCCGCGTCCAAGAATGTTGGTGATGGAACGATAACGGTTGTTGGTGATGGATGCACCGTTGTAGTCCCGGCAGCGGAATGCAGAGAAACCGTCGGCGTCTGCTCCCCGCCCGCGTGGCTCCCCTCGACGTCCTCGTCCGCTGCAACGCTTTTCGCAGATGGTTGCTTCTTCGTCGCGTCGCCACCTCCGTCATTCGCTTCTGCCGTCCTTCGATGCAACGAGTACAACTTCCAGTACTCCACGATCTGCCATAGTCGATCTTGTTTTTCAGTCCACGTTATCTCTGATAGATTGGTTGAACTCATCTGGATTTGATTTGGTAGGAAGCTGCATCCCTGAGAGAGTTGTGACGAACTCGCTTTTCGGAACCGGGCTATGATACCAGATGTTAGAACAAAGTTTTTAACGGGTTTCTAGATCAGATCTAGAGATTGGAAATTTAGGGTTTATAGAATAGAATTGGGGATTTAGGGATTCGAGGAGAATTTGGGGAAGAATAGAAGAGAATCAACCTAGACCTTTGGAGGAATTGAGGACAAGAATTGAGAAGATAGGGAGAGAAATTAAGGAGATAATTCTTTTATTAACTTCCGCTTAATCTGACGAATGACCCAAAGTACATATACATAGGGAAATACTAGAAAATCCTAAGAATAAACCTAATTCTACTAAAAGACTACTAATCATAATAAGAATTATCCTAATAATAAGCATAGTAAATAATAAAGAAACCCTAAAGAAATTGGTTTCTAACATGTACCCAATGGATTTGACCCAGGTGATGGCAGAAGAAGAGAAACTCGAAGATGATGTTGAAGGCTTCAAAAGCTCATGAAAGAAGCAAAATAAATTTCAACAAAAGCAAGCAGAAGAGGATAACCCAAAGAAGTGAACCTGCATAGGGTTCTGTTCAAGTGATTTGCATATTACAACAAGCTGAGTTGAGATGATGATTGATATGAAGAAACTTATATTAGATGGCAAACTATATATTGTACAGCTTATTCTTTTAGAGAACTATTTAGTTTTCGCCCTTGTAATCAGAGCCAATGAATAAAGATATTCTTCTGCCTCCATCACAACTTCCTCCACAAACCACTGAACGAACAAAGCGGAAATTTCAAGTAAAGCTTTCCTTGCACCTAAGTGGGAAACTGAAGTGGTTTATGAGTGTGAGCTAGGAGAAGATTTTTGAAGACAATGGTAGCAAGTGGAAAATGGCTTCCCAATAGCCTAGACAGCAACTGGTGTACCGTGGGTTTTTTGGGTTCTTGGGGAGAGGCGGAGAGCACACTTTCTTCTCGTGACCATTGATTGGTTTGCCCACGGCTAGCGATGGCTGGACCGTGGAAGTCAAACCTGGCCACTGTATTGGAATTTGCCTATAAAGAAAAAAAGTCACGCTTCTCAATTCTTTTTTCAGATTGGAAGCCTTAAACGAAATCCCAATGTATTATGAATAAGGATGGATTGCCCCCGACTTTATCCGGTTACAATAATAGCTGACTGCATTGTCTTCTCCTCCAGCACCGTTTCTCCCCTTCTCGCTTTCCGATCAATCACAGTTTATCTCTTTTGATCGCTCACTGCAGCACTCCCACCTTCTACCCGCGAAATTGGAAGAAATGGATTCTTCGCCACAAACAGTCTCCATTAAACCCAGAGGTGATCACCGTTTCCCCCTGTTTTCACGGTTCATTTCTTTCTTTCTCAGGAGAAGCTGGGTTTTCTCTGATTCATTTTGATTTCAATTGGCTTGAAAAGGCTTAAAAGGAACTAACTTTGGCTGTTTTTCAATTGTCAAACTGAAGATCTGAAGATTGCGTGTTTGATCCACGCTCACTGCAATTTTGCTCTTGATTCCTCATTCATTGTTCCTCATTCGCTCGCTTGCTCACAAGCAGAAGAGATGGTTAGTTTCCACTTCCAGTCACCAGATAAGTGCCAACAATTCTAACCAGACAAACTATCGAAGTTAAAGAATTGGAATTGGAATTAATTCAGAATTGCAGAGCCCAACAACAGCATCAAAGCAGCCATACATCTTTCCTTATCATCAACTGTTATTCAGGAACAAAAACATATGTAAGGACGAGAGAGAGAGACAGAACAGGTCAGGCGAAACAAGACGATCAAAAAACAATTACAGTCTCTCAATTACTGACAAATGTTCATAACAACAAAAATTCTTCCCCCTACCCATAAAAAAAGAAAGAATCTTTCCACCTTACAATCAACATCATCATATCATTAACCAATAACCATACAAGTAGTAGAACCCTTTCAGAAGAAGTCAAACTCCAGATAGTTATCACCAGCACCCTTCTGACCACTGCCTCCTCCTGCTGTTGCTGTCCTCACTGCCTTTTCGCTGGTGGAGCCTGCCACTGGTGGCGGCCCAGGAATCCGTTCCAACTCAACCGGCTTTGGTATCTCAGGCGGTGTGGCACATCGTATCAATGCCCAGTTCACCCCTTCGAAGAAAGGATGCTGCTTTATCTCAGTAGCACCTCTCTTATACGCCAACCTATGCTGTGGCTCCTTCACCAGCAGTCCCCTTATGAGATCCCTCGCTGCAAAGCTGACCACTGGCGCTTCAGGAAACCGGAGAGGCTTCCCACCACATTGAACAATGTAGCTCGGTTTCCAGACCCCTTGAATGGTGTCTTACCAAATAGGAGCTCGTAGAGAAAGATACCAAAAGTCCACCAGTCAACAGCACTTCCATGGCCTTCTCCCTTGATGATCTCGGGAGCTAAATACTCGTGGGTCCCGACGAATGACATTGATCTGGCCTCGGTAGGCTCAGCAATCAATTCAGGTAAAGGGCTGACCTGGTTTCCAAGATTGTTTTTCGGTTTCCTCTCCTTTTTTGACTTGCTGGAGAAGAGACGAGGCGAGAAGCATGTCGTAGGCCCCACGCAGGATGGTTGGATGCAGGCTGGTGGTTGAATGCAGGCTGGCTGGACACAGTAGACTGTGTTCTTTCGTAGTGGGTCGGCTCCCTCGAGAGGCGTGCCTTTGACGAGAGTTGGGCTAACAGCACAACGGAGGGAAAGGTCGAAGTCGGAGAGCATTATGTGACCATCATCTCTCACCAATACATTCTCGGGCTTGAGATCGCGGTAGATGATTCCCAGCATGTGGAGATACTCCATTGCTAATAAGACCTCTGCCAGGTAGAACCTGAAGAATTTGAGGGCGTATTATAGGAAAGATTACAATTTGGCAGGTGTAAAATCAGTAATAACACAAGCTAATGTTCTAAGAATGCAGTAGGCAGACACAGCAGCTAATGTGACCCTGAAACAAAGTCCAGTACAATTTAAAACTTGAAAGTCAGAAACTTCAATTGCAAATTACTTAAACTCATTACTCCAGAGCTAGCAGAATGCAATCTTCTGACAACTACAGTTACAACTTGTGTACTCATAAAGGCAGAACTCATTTCATAACAGAGTTTTCTGCTGAAAAATCGTATCAGTGCAATCAAGGTATGAACCAAATTTCATGACAATATTGAACAATGGAGCAAGCTTAGGAAATGGTAAAGGGCAGACATATCAGGTACTATGGATCATCAGGTGAAACAAAAACATAATGTACTGTAGATTAAATGAAACAAATCGACAACACATCAGATATCAAAGTTTCATACTTTACTGCATGCTCAGTGAAATGCTTCCCGGGCTGCCTCTGCCTGAGGGTGTGCAAGTCACCACCACCAGGGCAGAACTCCATGACCAAACAAGAAAACTTCTCCGTCTCAAAGTGAGTATAAAGTGAAGGAAGGAATGGATGGTCCAGAGATTGTAGTATCTCTCTCTCTGTCTGAGCCCTAAGCAGCTTCTTACGGCTTGCAAGGGAGCCCTTGTCCATCACCTTCATAGCAAAATAACACTTGGTCCCACTCAACTCAGATAAATACACACTTCCAATATCGCCACAGCCTAACCTTTTCAGCAATCTAAAGTGATTCAAACCCAAAGCACCATCCCTCGTCCTAACAGCCTGGATGGCTTCCCACCTTAAATCATTTGCCTTGTGAGGCTTGCTGATGCTGCTGCTAAAGCTGCTACACGTGCTCTCATCGCTGATGTCACTGCTCGTGCTGCCTCTGCACATGCTGCTCTTCCCACTCTCCACATACTCAATTTTTGTGCTCCCGCTAGTCTTTCCAAGACTGCTAGCTCCGTCACTGACTTTTCCTGAAACCGAACTGTTCTTAACAGACGCTTCTTGAGACCCTTTGGTATCATTGATGGATGAAGAATCTACTCCTCCTGATCCTTGTTCTTCAATACTCACCAATGACATTGAAGTGGACTCCAATTTGCTGCTTAAGGAGTCAGCAGTCAACACCTTTCTGTTCGAGTTCGGAAACTTTGGCGTGTTTCCTAATGGCCTTGGCACCTGGCCATGAATGTTCATCTCAACTGGAGAAGGGAGCTTGAGATCATCTAACCTCAACTTATGAACCTCTTTTGAAAACCCTTTACTACCTGTTCTGGAGGCCATGGAGAACTATCTAACTCTTCCAAAACTACGTCATAGGTGATGAATTCACGGCCAAGCATATAGTACCCCAAATCATATCTTCCAGCAGTAGCCCAAACGTATATTTCTGCCTTATTCTTCTTTTACTGTCCACAATTGAATCTGTTTGAACATAGCTGAGTAAGTCCCAAATCAGCTGGACGTTTTTAAAATAAAAAAAGATGCAGAATGATTGATTTTGGTACATGCAATATGAAGGAAAAAAGATTAGAATGAAAGAATCTATGGAAGAGGTAATTTAGATTAACCATGGATTGAAGTGATAGCTCAACCAAATAAAGCTTCAATTAGCACAAACAAATAGATATAAACGTGAGATCTTGGCAATCAGAGAGGCTACAAATTCAACAGTGAGGGAGATTGATTTAATTTTCCTAGTGTACCTGTACCACCTCAGCCTCAGTGGAGCTAAACTATTCACGTTAACAAAGAGGTTTGAGGAGAGGAAAAACAGCAACAGAGTTAAGTACAACAAGGGAAACCAAATTCACTCATCTCCCACCACAGAATCAGGTTGAAGCAAAGGGCCTGCTGCATGTTTAACCTTGATCAAGCAAATAGGAAAGTGAGAAACACCCCTCAGCAAACAAAATAAAAACAAAGATAAGGGAAGAATTCCATGGCAGCCAAAAACCTTGGGAAAAAATATCTCCCCATGTAGAACAAAGAGGTTCATTTCAAGGACCACTATCTAGAAAGTGGAAATCAGTCCATCAAAGTCAGCTGCCCAGAAAAATGCAGTTTGTGAAAACAAAAGGAAGGCAGAAACAAACAACTGATCCCCACAGACATGACACAACCAAGCAACCAAATAAAAAAAAAATGTTAACAAATTCAGCCTTATAAAAAACAGATCTTGACAGCAAAAAACACAGCTAGAACCAAAACCCAGAACAGATCGAAGGCCAAAACGGAGAACGCAGATGCCTACGAAGCAGATTGCAATATGCATACAATTGAACAAGGTAGAAGAGGAACATAAAAAGTACCTAGCTTGAAAGATCAGGAACTTGAAGGTGGGCTTTGCTTGCTTTTGCAGAGAGGGGCGATAAAAAAAAGGAAGAACAAAAAGGGAATGCACTGTAGAAAGGAGAGAGAGAGAGAGAGAGAGAGAGAGAGAGAGAGAGAGAGAGAGAGAGAGAGAGAGAAAGAAAGAGAGGCTATGGTGGGGTGGCTGCTGCTACCAAATAATCTGTGTGTGAAAGAAGAGGGAGGGAGAGATCTGAAAGCAAAGATGGAAAAGGAAAGCTTGAGATAGAAATAAAAAAGAGTAATCAAAATGGAGAAAACAAAAAAGGAAATTGGTGTTTATAAGCTGGCTTGGCTGGATGGATGGATCAATGGACTATGGTCCTCCTGTCCTGACTTGGCTGAGAAAGCTTCTTCTGCAGCTGTCCTTGTGGACCATTGTTGTACAGAGAGAGAGTAGCAGTAGAAGAACAAGAGGTAGATGAGTCAAAGCCAATGGCTAAAGCCTAAAAGGTTTGGAAACAAATAATAACAATAATAATCGATTTTCTCTTTCTCTTTCTCTTTCTCTTTCAATGCTTAAATTAATTTCCCCTTTTTACAATGGAAAATGATGCTGTCGGTTGTGTTGTAGTGCTTTTGTTTTGGAGCGGAGGTAACAGTTTGGATGGTCCGACAGCCAACCATGAATAAAGGGCAAGGCCAAATTATGATTTCGGTTTGGTAGAAAAACAAAGATCTTGCTCTTTGAACTCATCGTACATTAGCAAATTCTCTGATGGCGGCACTAATCTAGTTGGAGTTAATTTGCAGGCCTCTCGCCTAAACCGATTATGATATGTGTTTCGAGAATACATGTATTTAAAATTAGGGCTAATACCACTACAACACCCGAACTATCGCGAAAATGCCACTTGTGTCCTATTGTTTCCAATATTCCATCTGTGTCCTGAACTATGATTCCGTTAGTGTTGACTTTTGTTGACCGTTAGTTTTTAACAGAAAATCCCGTCAGTGCTGATGTGGCATCTGACGTGGAATTTGAAATATTAATTTTTATTTATTTTTCTATCTAATATTAATAGATAAGAAAAAGAAAATAATTAAAATATAAAATACAATAAAAATTTAACCCACCCTCGTTCCACCAACCTCTTCCCCAAGATCCAGATCTACAATTCCTCTTCTCCTTCTCCTTCTCCTTCTCTTCCCACTAAAAAATTTGAACCCAAAGTCGAAACCATCAAACGAAGGCTTCTAAAGAAAGGCTTATAAACCCTAGCAGCAAGCAGCAGCCGTACCCCTCATCCTTTCCATTTCCCCTTCCCAAACCTAAAGAACAGACCTCTCTTCTCAATCCTCAAGCGGAAAGCAGCAGGCCGCCTCATTCTTTCTAAACTCTCCCCTCTCGTCCTTTCAGCCGCAACAGCAGTGAGCGGCGATGATGACTTGCTGTTTGAATCAAGGCTGGACATGCTATTTGAAGACGGCAAGAAGGAAGTGTGATTGAAATCGGAGCGATGGTGAGAGTGATGCTGGGGCGGCGGAAGAACGACGAAAGGGGTACATGGACCCCTGCTTGGCGGCCACAAAGACGCTCTTGCGGGAGGAGGATAAACAGGTGGATCGGAGGATTTCAATTTCAGAGTCGTCGATCTGTCCAGGGTTTATGGCCCATGAATCGACAACAAGGGAAACTTTGAGCATCGATTAACAACCTAGTTGGATCCCAGAAATCCCACCTGGCCGCGGTGCAGTGATGAAATCCGAACAGAGAGCTAAAGAAGCTCCCAGCCTTCTTCAAATTTCAGAGCTCTTCTCAGATCTGTTTGGTCAGGTCGCTGAATCGAATCTCCTCTGTCCATTTGGTCTGATTTCGCCGACTCCGCTTTCTTTGACGAGAATGGAATCCCACGGAGCTTCTCGACGCCAGTGGCGGTGATGAATTTGATTGTTGATTAAATTCTTCAACAAGGATGGAGAGAAGTGAACCCAGCTCTTTCGTCATAGATTGCATGATTCGTAGATGCTGGCAGGCAAGGAGATCGATTCAAACTGAAATCGCCGAATATTTCCAGCAAGCCTTTCCGATGCTGTGTGGGGAGGACGATGATGGGGGATGATTATGGCGATGGTGGGTTGCGACTGCCGCCGAACGCGTTCTTGACGAAGCAGATGGCGAGGCAGAAGGGGAAATTTTTTAGAGCGAGAGAGGCAAATCGGTAGAGAATAGTTTTTTTTTTTAATTTGAGGTTATAGAATATTATTTACTAATATTCTTGAATTTAAAGTTTTTCAATTTTTTATTTTCAAAGTTTTATTTAATTTAAATTAAAAATGTGAGGTGTCAATGAGTTGGCATTGCCACGTAAGCAAAAGTCAATGTTAAGTTGACCGCCGTTTGGTCAACTGTTATCTTTAACGGTCAACAAAATTGACAGGATACAAATGACACAAAATATAATAGTTCATGACATGAATGGAATATTGAAAACAATAGGATACAAGTGACATTTTCGCGATAGTTCGGGTGTTGTAGTGGTATTAGCCCTTAAAATTATCAATATTTAATACTAACGATTGGTTTTGGTGATAGTTTAGGTGAGATTGTATATATTGTTAACAATGCATCATTTTTTTGGTTTATTTACTTAAACAATGCACCCATTTTTTTTGTTGATGTGATGAAAACTATCACTCAAAATTAGTGATAGTAAACTAGTAATATTTCTACTAAAACTTGAGATTGTTGAGATAGTTTTTGAGGAGATTATTGAGTTCCCTTTTTGTTCCAAAGGGGTGTTCAAATGGTTACCATGGTTATCACCAAACCAAATAAGGCCAAATTCCATTAACCATATAATGCAATATCATAACCAAACCGTCCAAACTAATACAACAACCAAATTAACCAAACTAAAGTTTAATCGATTTGGTTAATTGGTTAACCAGATTAACCAATATAAAATCACATTATCATTGACGATGAAAATTTTCCGGTTAATGCAACAATTCGCAATTTATATAATGAATAAAACATACCAATCAACACGTAGTTATAGTTGACCCTTAACAAAAATACATGCAACTAAGACAATTATCTTACAATTAGTATAGAAGTATTCACCTAACAAAAATTTATGACAATGGTATGAGTTAATGAATTGTTGTGTTTAAATTGACTTAGTGTCTTAGCAATTATCATAGGCTGGAAATGACCTTCCTTTCAAGTTTCCATCCATCATAATGTATGAAATTTATCTAAATTAGGCGTCCATATGTTGTGGTCTACATTTTACATATACAAATATACACTATATGAGCAATATTGAGCTTTATATTTTATGAGTCTAAAAGGGATGAACGTTAACTCTTGAGTGGTTATGCAAAGTATTAAGTATGTGTATATAATATATGTTAGATATATGACTAATTATTTAACTGGTTAATTTGGTTTGACTGGTTAGGAGTGTCTGAAACCAAACCAAAATACCTAAACCAAACAAGCTAAAAACTTTAACCAAACCAAACCAATTATCCAAATTAACCAAACCAAATTATCCAAATAGTACCGGTTAAAACGGTTACCATGGTAACCAAACCGTTTGAACACCCCTACCAATTATACTCCTATTTGTATATATATGTTCTCATAAAAACAAGGGCAAAAGTGAACATTCCAACAAAAAGTAATATAACTAGTTAAATACTAAAAGAAGTATCACCAAAATCAAACAATGTAAAGTACATTCTATCATTTTCCTTAATTGCATGTATATTACAATGCATAT